CAGCTTTGCTGGCTGGGGAATTCTGGGAGTTGAAGTCCACACGTCTTCAAGCGGCCAAGGTTGAGAAACACTACTCTACTGAGTCAGGAAATATGGGCTTTCTTTTAAAAAAAGAAAAAAAACCCATGATTCCAGAAAGCTGAGAGACCCATATACCCCATCACAGGGCCACAGATGCTCCCTGCAAGGATCTACGGGTGTCTAGTTCAAAGCAATTTCTGTATCGATCTGGAGGATCATTCAGGCTGGCTCCAGGTCTGAGGATGAAACCCTACAGTTCATTCCAAAGCTACACGACAGCAAACCCTGGGGAATTTTTTATTTGACAAACCTGAACGAGCTGGCCGAGTAGTTAATTTTCAGAGTCGTAGGACTGGGTAGTGGCTTTCTTTACACTCTCTGTAAAGAGAGCTGGCATATAAAGAGGCTTTTATTGTTGACCTGGATACTTTGATGGGAAGGTTTTTCTAGGTGGGCTGTATTTAGGATGTACAAAAAGGGGATTTTGTATTTTTCAGATAACCTTTGTGATCTAAAAATGAAATGTCCAAAATGTTGCTTCCTGAAATGTTGAGTAACCCCACCGGTAGAAAGTCAATAATCATTTTCAAGTTGTGGTAAGGCCATACAGGCCGTTCTATTCACAGGTGTATTATTATTGTATTTCATATTTGTTTTGAGTGTAGCCAGGAGAACTTGTTTTTCATCCCCCTTTGTAAAAACAGAGGAGGGAGATGCAGGTCTTAGCAGAGGTCTTGACACATTGGGCTAAAGTGTAAGAAGCACAACTCCAGTGTTATAATGTGCTCCAAAAGGTGAAGTAAATCCTGTTGTTTGGGCAGAAAAACTTGAGGGATGCTAGAAACAACCCAGAGCATCTTCGGAAATTTCTCAGATAACTTGGGTGCATCCCTAGTTAAAAAGGAGAAAAAAAGGAAAACTGCCAGGTTATCTCCTTGAGGCAAGGCAGGGATAGCAAGAAAGAAGTGGTGGGTTTTTGCTGGAAATTTGATACCGCTGGCCAATTTTGCGTAGCAGTGTCTTCTTTTGAAAGGTTTCCTGAGGCTCTATTTGAAGGCCCTCTCACTGTGCTTCTGGCTCAAGGTCAAGAATCAGGATGGAGAATAGGGGCTTTGAAGTTGCCCATTAACCGTTCATATTCAGCAGACTGAACAAGCCTGCGAGGCACCTGGCCACAGTCTTCCCCACTCTTTTTCTACCTCATTCACCAGTTATCATTTCTAAGTCCGGAGCTTGAGACTTAAAATAGCATAATTTCAACCTCCTTTTTGGATGCATGGGTGGGAAGATGTATTTCCTCTTTTCCATGATGAATACGTGGCCATAAAAGTAGCTATAAAAGGAGAATCCAGCAGAGTTCTTCTGAAGGATGAATGCATTTGTGAAAGCAAGTCCTACTTCTTGGGTTCATCGCTTGTTGCAGAAAGTTTCTTGGAATTATTTCATATTGCTGTGGCAGTGGCTTCAGGGCACGTGATACTATTTTGTAATGCTGCAATGGACTTGAGCTGGTGAGTAGGTGGATATTTGGGAGCTAGTAGCCAGCCATTCTTGGAGTGATGGTGGACTGCGTCCTATTGCCAGTGGTGGAAGAACATCTGTCCATCAGTGGAACAGAGACGGACATTTCCTTTTAATCAGGTGGCAAGATGTTTTGGGCTGACCCTGGTTTTCTGGGCACATCTAAACAGTAATTGATAGAAGTAGCAATGGCTCGTCTCATGACTTACTATGGTAGATAATCTGCCCACTAAAATGCCTTTTTTGGGGGGGGGGCCTCAGGCAACAAAACCAGGGAGTTTATAAGCACCTGGTGAGTAACCACAGTTGGTTTATGGGCTCTTTTTAGCTCTGTGGACCATACAATGGAGGGGCCGTATATGGTCAAGCACCTGCTGTGAGCCCCTTCCGCCACCGGTTTGCCCTCAGCCCAGAGGCTCGGGCAGCTGAAGGTGGCGAGGGCATTTGCTGGGCTCCAAGAACGGTCAACAGTCAGGCCCAGCCAGGTGGCTTCTTACTGAGCTGGAACAAGACGGCTTTCAAACAGTCTCAATGCAGAGGTGATATCTAGTAATTTCTAAAATATTATACAGTTCTGTCCTGAAATGTTATTTAAAGAGGAGGAGAAATTTAGCACTCTTTAACGCTAAAAAAAAGAGGAGGAGAAATTTAGCCCTCTTTAACGCTAAAAAAAGCTGGAACAAGACGGCTTTCAAACAGTCTCAATGCAGAGGTGATATCTAGTAATTTCTAAAATATTATACAGTTATGTCATGAAATGTTATTTAAAGAGGAGGAGAAATTTAGCCCTCTTTAACGCTAAAAAAAAAAAAAAAACCCCCTAAAAAGAAACAACGAATGTGTTGTTTCGAGCATCACCATTTTCCTCCCTGTTTTGGTGACTTAAAATTCTTTACAGCGCCTTTTAAAATGTGCTTTCCTCAATTGATTTATTTTTCCCCCAGAGATGAAAACAAGGAAAACTACCCAGACAAAGCTGCCGTCTTAGAGGACAGCCAGGCCGTGTTCCAGGAGACGCAGACCCCCTGCGATGGCACTCTGAGGGTTGGGATGGGGAACCTGAAATCCAGGAAGCCCACGTCTGTTCCCAAAGCAGAAAATGAGAAGAACCGTGAAGAAAGTCAGGTAATCACGATTTCGCGTGTTTGGGCTGTAATTTCATCCATAATAAAAGAAAAGCCTCTGAGTTAGATTTTTATTTCTAAGATTCGCTAGTGTCCTCCGGCGTGTGGGCGGCTGTACAGTGAAATGCAGCTAAGACGCCTGGAATAAAGACAGTGCAAACCTCGGACTGAAGGAGCCACTCAGAGCAGTGGAGACAGAACTGCTTCAGCCACCTTTGCACAACGCCTCTGCTTCCACCAGCAGCCAGAATCCCTCGCCCAAGCAATAGTTTCAAGCGTCCTGCACTTTTCCCAGTGCAGCGCTGGGCGGCGTGGAATAAACGCTCCTTCCTGGAGCCGAGGCGCTTTCCCTGCTGTTTGCTTCGCCACCACGATGGGTCCCACCCACTTCCTGACCTGCTGCTGCCAGTCTCCTTTCGTTAGCTAGCTTTCTCCGTGCCCTGCGCGTGGCTCGTTTCTCGTTGCTGATTCTGACTGAGGATTCCCAGGCTAGACGTTTTCTTCGCTCTTGCTCCGAGGGGCTGCCCAGCCATCAACTTGGAAAGGTTGACGTGGAGATCGGGATCCTACATCAGGGTCCTGGGGAAGTTTGGCTTCCCCACTTGGGTGTGATTCTGAGCGATTTCCTGCTTTCTATGCCAGGAAATAATCTAATCAACCTCCAAACATTTCAGATCAATCTGGATGAGATGGGATGCATGTTTTTAAAATCCACTCAGATTACAAGACTCCTCTAGCCACTGGGGGATTTGACAGGTTGGAAAGTGGCTTGTATATGGGCTGACATTTTAGTCTCTTTTGCTCAGTGTAAAGCAGCAGTTTTTGTCTTGGGTGGAAGATCCTGAGCAGGAACTCTGACTTTATAGTGGCAAAATTGAAGTTTACTAGTACAGCCAGTTGTGGGAAGTATCTGACAAAACCAGCCCTGCAAAAAAATGCTGTGATTGACTTGCCTCTGTACCATGCTTGCTTGTGTTTTTATCACTCTTAGCATGGCCGTGTGGAATTTGTATCTTTAAATCCTTATTGCTTTTGCTAAGTCTAATCAGCGCTGCTGTGGTTGAAAGAGTTTATTGTCTTTCATTAGTGAGGCGAAGGAGAGAGATTGATGATGGCTTATGTTTCTTAGCCTTTCCTACTGTGCAACAGAAAATGCCATTTCCAAGAGTTACAGGCTGAGTTCTCCTTCCATCACTATCTCTCTGAAACTTTGGCCGTCTCCAGAAGCAGCCCTACAGAAGTCAGGAATGGGGAGTTTTGCTGTTGTCACTCTGTGGTATATGATGGCATTTCTTGTGTTCTTTACTGGGAGGATTTTCATCCGTTCTTGCTTCTTGTACTTTCGGGTTCAACCCCGGCACTAAAACTAATGCTAAGATTGGTGAACTCTTCCCTTGGGGGAAGCTTATCTGTCCCAGGGTACAACATGTGTATGGCTGCAGAAGAAGCATTTTTTTCTGATAACTTGTGAAAGAGGTAGATGGACCAAGAGATCCTCTTTCTAAGGCACAGCATTCTGAGGAGCCCAGATCTGAGACATTGGGTGACCCAAATGAGGAGGGGGCATTTGTTGCTTGAATAGGTGCCCCTTGACCAAGAGAGCATGATGCCAAACCATAGTGTTCCCTAGCCAGATGTGTTGGACTACAACCCCCATCAAATCCAAGGTCAATTGGGCAAGGTGGTCAGAGTTTTATTCAAAGGCTGCATAAAGCACTGTAGTTGAATTGAAACCACCGTGTTAAAGAAATTGAGTTTTTCTGACCTGAGTTAAGACATTTGACCTTCCTGTTCTTGAGGAAGTAGATCCAGAAAAAATAATTAATAATTAAAACTGCCAAGAAGATGATTGTCACGGGGCTTGGGTGTGAGTATGGTTTGCTGTAAATTCTTGGCAAATATGCCCGTTAAATAAATGTGTTAAATTAGCTTCTGTTCTTTTGCAAAATGGAAGGATCTCTCCCTTCCTTCTCCTCCTCTTACTGGAACTCAATATAAACACACTGGGAGTAAGTCAAGATTGACAGAGGGTTTCCCACCCTGCAGGACCCAGTTTGGAAGAGCTGGTGGACACCAACCACCTCCCTCGGCAGTCAAGGTTCACTTTTCACTTTCCAAGAAAGTTTGATCTATGATCACTTGTGAAAAGACTGAACAAGCCTGCTGGCCATGCTCTTACCTACTTTATTTCTATTTCATTTATCACTTATAATTTCTGCAGCTAGATATTTAAAACAGCACAGTTTTAACTTCTTTTTTGGGGTTCATGCGTGAGAAGATGCATTTCTGCTTTTTGATGATGAGTAAGTGGCCACACCATATAAAAGGAGAGTTCAGCAGCGTCCTTCTGAAGGAAGAATGAGTTGGTGAAGGCAAGTCCTAGTTCTCAGTTTCACCACTTGTTGCTGAAGGTTTCTTGGAACTATTCCATATTGCTGTGGAAATGGCTTGAGGGCACGTGATCCTATGTTGTTAGTGCTAAAAAGGACTTGATCTGGTCAGTGGATGGGTGGGAGACTATTTGGAAGACAGCAGCCAGCCATTCTTGGAGTGATGGAGGACTGTATATTATTACCATCTTCCACATAGATTAACAGTCTATGAACTTTAAGCTTCAGCTTTAACTTTCTAGTAAGTTTGATCTATGATTATTGAACAATAAATCACCATGGAATTTATGATATTGAAAGATAGGTTGTTAAATATTTTAAGTAAACATAAAAAAAAAAGGATTTATGTTCAAATTCACATTTCATCCTGAGAAGTTCATAGATTTAATATTAATTTATGGGAAATATGTAGATATACATCTGACTATTTATGGATGGTTGAGCATCATTTTAAAAATGACATTTGATCAGTGTTGTCTGCATGCCATAATTCCATAGGGGGAAAACACAGAAAAAGCCAGAAAAAGCTCAGAATTTAATATTGGGAGAAGAATATACTTTCTTCAAAGTTACATGCTTCATGTCAAAAAATGTAATTTGCCCATATGGCTGCGAAGAGATATTTGCAAGCGTGTGGGCAATGCCTACTGAAATATCTCAAGTTTAGGCAGAGGAGGTGAAGAATGATTTCCACTGCTGAACGCAAACTTCAGTATGTTTGGATTTTTTGATTGATTTGCCACATTGGAATAAATTATGCAACATAGGATTTGCAGAACCAAGAGTCATATGCTAATTTGCAGGCTCTCTATAAATTGTAGCATTAAACTTCTCTTGATAGAGGAATTTGATCACAGAGATAAGGCTGTCAATCTCTTTCCCCTTTGGCACAAAATACACACAGCCAACTGCTCCCACAGTGTGCTTAACCTCTGACCGAATCACATCTCCTTAGTGGTGGTTCAGCCAGCACACAAACCCAGACCCTAAGCAGGGCAGGCAAAATGGGTCAATTAACCAGGTTTAAGTGTTCTCACATCACCCGGTGCAGGATTGGTCTATCTGGAATTCGATTAAACTCTGCAGGTTAGTTGAGTGGTGTCAATTCCAAAAGAGCTAATAACAATAAAAGGGACATAAGAAACCCAAGTGTAGTAAAATATATCATGGTATAAAATGAGAGCAGATAAAACAAGTCAGCGAGTTGTTGGTCAAGTAAAACCAACCAATCCATTATTGTTTTGAACTAGAATTGTGTGTGTATACTTGCTCTTTCCAACTGGGTTGTCCCACAGGTGGTTTTTTATTTTTAGATTTTTTATCCTGCCTTTATTATTTTTATAAATAACTCAAGGTGGCAAACTTGCCTAGTACTCCTCCTATTTTCCCCACCATAACAACCCTGTGAGGTGAGTTGGGCTGAGAGAGAGGCACTGGCCCAAAGTCACCTGGCCGGCTTTCATGCCCAAGGTGGGACTAGAACGCACCATCTCCTGGTTTCTAGCCTGGTGCCTTCTCCACTAGACCAAACTGGCTCTTGACAATATAGAACTAGGAATTCTGAGAATTGTGACCCCCACATACCTGGAAGGCTGGAGTGAATTTAGTTCACGCTGATCTCCTTTCTCTGGGTGGATTTTCTTCCCCTATTCCTTTGCACTGAGCTGTCCTCCTTGGAATCCCTGCGACTACAAGTGGTCACTAGACAACAGTATTTACACATAAAACCTTTTAGAATAAAACAGCTCCTGATACTTAGAAATTATAGCTGAGTATTTCCTTCTTTATGGGTTATATTTTCTAAGCCTTGCTGTGAATATGGGTCATGAAGTGATTTGCTCTTAAGCTCTTAACTGACCTAGAGAAGCACTTCTAATCGGAATAAGACTTCCTGGTTTGAAAACTAGAGCAAGTAGAATTTGCTCATTTTGGCACTAATTGTCAGGACAGAGAGTTAAGACAGTAAACAGACCAGCTTATGCAGATCGCTTGAGGCAGAGAGGCGAAGGACCTCTGTGTGAAAGGTTGCTGATTGATTCAAACTAGATTGAATAGAGTGAGAAAGGTTTCCTAATGTTCAGTGGCTCGGCATTAAGGTTGCATCTGAGCCAGGCAAAGGTTGTATGATCTGAAAGACTAGTGCATTCAGGTCCTGATCAAGGCATGTATTCAGATGAGATGATTCCTGAAACTTTCCTACCCACAGTGTCTTCCTGTTTTCTCCAGTAAAGGTGCAGAAGAAAAGTCTGGCTCAATGAAAACCACCAAAGGAAGGACAAAACTGTATATGAACATCTCAGCATGATACAAGCTGCAGTTCTAGGGCTGAGCCATGTAAAATAACAATTCCTCCTCCCGGGCATGCAGCTCTCCTTGCAGAGGTTGATCTCTGTTCTTCAGTGCATGAAAATGAGATGCACATTAGGGAAATCCGTACGTTGTGTGAATAACTAGTGGATTTTGGTTCCTGTCAGCTAAGAATGTTGAACACCCGCATTTGCTAATGCTGGTAGAATTAAGGTATGTGCAAAGCCAACCCAAAGGTCAGGCCAAGTGAACTTACGGTTGGTTGATCTGCAGCTTGCACATAAGCCAAACCTCTTCATTGATGAATCACACTGATTAACACTTTCGGCCTAACAAATAAAAGATCAATATCCATGGAAGGGTGAAACCAACCTCTGTCTTTCAAGAGCATACTTGCCTGTTTTTAGGCGATCCATTTTTCTATGCTAATAAACTATGTGAATGGAAGGACAGACAACCAGATGTTTTGGGTTTCAGTTCCCGTCAGCTTCATTTAGCATGGCCAGTGACAATGACTGTGGGAGTTGTTAAAGGACCTCGATGTAGGGAAGACTTTTCTGGAGCTGATTTCACCAACCCGTCTCTTTCCAGATGAGCTGGGCTCCACTCACAGAGTTCCCCATCAGCACAGGAATTATTGGGTGGACACATCTGGAAAGCAGCAAGTTGTGAGCACTACCCTAACTTCCAGTCTTAAGCCTCTGCAATGTGTAAAGATCTTTAGTGGGTGGATGACAGGTGGAAGTCTGAAAGTGATAATAGAGATGGCTTGAAAAAAGAGCTGAGTAAATTTGGAGAAATAATCTAACGATTGTAAAGGTGCTTTGTTCTGAGGAACATTGTGAGGAATGAAAAGAGCACCGATGTTGCATGCAAGTATGCACTGAGAAGGTCCCCCCCTCCCTCTACCACATTGTGATCTTCATGTTTGTACTAAGCAAACAGAGAGTGAACTTTTGATTACCCTCTTGGTCTTCTTTCTTCTGTTCCCCTATACATATTTAACTTTTTCCTCTCCCAAAATAGATAGTCAACATCAGTCTGGCTGCCAATTACTTGAATATGTTTTTGTCCCCCCCCCCCTTTTAATAGGAGATGGGAAGTGCAGCGTCATGGCTGTCAGACTGTCAGAGGAAAACAGGGACATCGACTAATGATTATGCTGAGAACATAACGCTCAGATACCAGGAAACGGTCCTCAGGTTTCAACCCAGGTATTCTTTTCGCATAAATGAGTCTGGTGGCTTCTGTGTACAATAAAGGAGGGGTGATTTTTTAGCAGCTCACACAACATGATTCACCAAACTGAAAGTAGGTCGCCACTCCCTCACGTTGGCATCTCGGGTGTCTGACAGCATCAACCCCCTCCCCGTTCTCTCAGTTTTACCTTGGCATCAGAGGAGGTGGTACATTAAGTTCTTGGTAGGTCACCACACAGAAATGTAGAATCACGTTGCACTGGCTTCTCCATCAGAACCAGAGCTCTAGATATTGTGCCCTTGAAAGAAAAAGCAAGGGAGAAAAGATGAACACTCAAGCTCCGGATTAAGAGGAAAAAACGGTCTTCTCTGAAAACTGTGTGCGGGCACGATGTCATCTCCCAGAAGAAGACAGTGGAAATCTTGATTTCCATCGGAACAGTCAGCGCTGTGGAGTGTTACACAAGTAACAAATATTAGATGAATATGAAAAGCGATGCAGGGTTTTGCAAAGGTGCAAATGTTGGAATCTCTAAACTGGGAGTTTGAAGGGGATTGGGTGCTGGGCTACTTATTTACCCTCAGACGGTATACAGCAGAGTTTTTCAACCTTGGCAACTTTAAGATGTGTGGACTTCAGCTCCCAGAATCCCCCAGCCAGCATGGCTGGCTGTGCCTATTCAGAAACCATTTATTAGCCTGTCAGACATTTTCAGGTCATTGTAGCTACTCCTGTCTCCTCCTCCATTGTAGCTACTCCTCCTGAGAGGATAAAATATAACTGAGTGGGGTGACCAGTGAGAATTACAGGCTCTTGGATCCCTTAAGAAAAAAAATTGTGCAAGGCAGCTGCACAACGGCATTTCCTGCCCTAGCAAAAATTGCCTTTCTTCCACTATTCCAAGATTTCCTCCATTTACTGATGGACGCAAGATGAATATGGTTTATGGGGCAGATAATGAGGATTAAGAAATCACAAAACAGATCAGACTGTTAAATTTCAGCTGGTGCAGGCATATCTAACCCAGAGTGCGATTTTTAGTTTTAGCTGGTGTTCATCGAAACGCTTACGTGCATACACCTTGCATTTGCTTCAGAAATTATTGGCTTGCCACTGTCAATCAGGGGAAACATCTCCCAGCATCATACTTCAGTTCATCTATGACATTGCAGGACAGGACCTTTATGATATAATGAATAATTACCATGAGTGCATTTCTGTACACTTTTAAGTACTGTAAATGCATTACAGAAGTACAGGTAATAACATTCGCTTTCTATCACCTAACATTCCTATCCCCCACTTTTTTTTTGAGTGGATCACATTCTATCCTACCTGTGCTTCTAAAGAGCTAAGCAAAATCCAGAAATGGGTTAATTTAATGAACACAGCGGAATTTCACCAGAGTTATGCTGGTTTGCTGAAGTGTCTGTTAGAATGTGATTCTCTGCTTCTCCAATTCCCATTTTGCAGGGCAGATCAAAGTGCATTCATTTCACCAAACGATGCTGCTGAACATCTCCAAAAGCTCACTGAGGTAAGTCCGTCAGAAGCCCAGAGATGCCCGGCCCAAGATGCTGCTCCATCCTTGTTGGAGCAAATAAGAGTGAGGGAAGAGTGAGCTCAGGTGTGTTCTGCAAGCATCAAAGTTGACCTTGCTGTGCTAGGAGTCTGTCAAAGACAGGTGGACTTGGAGGAGGTGTGTGGATGGGGTAATGTTGCTGTGGTTATTGGGGTTTTATGAGTTGATGATATTCTTTATTAATATTATACGTACCGTGTAATTTAATGCATGTTACTTTTCTAAACTCTTCAACTTTTTGGCTAAAGTGGCATAAAAGCACTTGTAGGTGAGTAAGTAAGTAAATGGGAGGCACACAGAGACCTGAATCCCAAAGTTTATAGAGCTGCTTCTATCCAGAGGAGGTAAAACGGGACAAATCAGAGACGCATAATCCAGAATGCTAATTTAGTACACATTTCAGCTGGAGGCTGCGTGTCTCATGCTGCATAATGGAGGGATCTTCTAAAAGCCACAGTCTCTACAGAGAGCTAATGGACAGATATAGCAACCCTTTTTTTCAGATTAGACTGGGCCATACATGTTGGAAATGTAGTTTTAGCCTAGATAAACACAAGAAATGATGATTGGTTAATGTCTGAATACTCGTGCCCTCTTAAAAATCTAGAAAGGGTAGGGGGGTTGGGTTTTGCACAGCCGGTCTTCTTTGTACTGTTTGGTTTGACCACATACGGGTGCCAAATTGATGGCCTCCTTTTTGCACTGTCTATTTGTATATTAGATAAATCATGCACTTTACTAAGCTGCATCGTTTGTGGCCACTTGCACGCCCATAGTTTAATTTTCATTTTGTTCTGAATGTTGAAATGCTTTTGAAAACTCTGAAACTTTTTCAGTCTCTGAAGGTTTTATGGGATGCATAAGAAGGGATTTGGGAATTTGAGAGAAGGGCAGAAGGATATGATGTGCAAAACTGGAAGAGATGAGGATCAGCATTTCTGGCCAGGAGAATAATAGCAGGATAAATATGTTGCTGAAAAGGTTTTCCAAGAATTTTTTAAGGAGAGTTTTCCTGGATTGAGTGAATAGGGGAGAACCAACTGGAGATGACTGTGGGAACATAACTGGCCCTGCACTGATATGGTCCCTAGAATAGCACCCTCGGTGAGTTTCTAAAAATATATTTGCAGGGCTCTGTGGGAAACATGTATAATAAAAAAAAGGTATTGCCCTAGAATTGCTCTGCTATTGCAGGGCAGCAAAGATTAATGAGTTTAGACCATTAGGGCTGCAGAATGAATGTTCCTTTTGGACAAACACTCCTTCTTCGCTCCTCCGCAAAGTCTTCCCCATGGCACTGGAAATATTTTCTTGAATTTAGGGCTTGAGAAGAAAATCCAGATTATGCCCTATGGTAACCTCAGTACTGTGCCAAGAAAAACGAAATAGTTCTGTATCTGCCATAAACTGTGAGATTATATGCATGTGCTTGTCCTGTAGACTTTATTCCATTGCCCAAATTGTGGGCAACAACATGAAAACAACCAAGCACACTTTTACTGGAAGTGAAACTGTACTCTTCTTATATTCTTGAAATTTCAAAGGGGCCATCAACAGACAAGCCCATGTTTCTTGACTCAAAAACTGGAAGCTTTCAATATTTTTCTTGAAGCAAACACTGAGAATCTTAGACTGATTATATCCAACTCTAAGGACTTTCTATGCTTGTCTAGGTAGGATGATGGAATATAGGCATGCAAAGACCATTTGGCTTATGAATAAGATTCTGAGGGTTTCCCCTTCAGAGCTCTGGTGTCTCCACAGTTATAAGCCTGCTTGAAAGTCCCTTCCTTCAGGTTACTCTTTGCTTGAGTCAGCTGTTCTGCTCAAGCTGTTGTTTATCAGAATCAGTGGTGGAAGTCCAGAAGTGTTTTTCTCTAAATCAGCTGCTTGTATTTGGAAGAAATGTGCCCAGCTGGTGGGGTGGGGTGGGGTGGTCAGAGACAAGATAGAGCTGATTAAAGGACAGAGAACCATCCAAGATTTGTGCATAGTGCTTGAACAATCCAGTCTGGTTATTTCACTGAACCATGCTCGGGGAAGCTCCAGCCCAAGTCCAAAGTGTGGTGATTCACATTCCAGGGGTAGGAATCTGTAGAGGGGAGTGGGTTGTCATTATGGAGTATGGGATCTGGTCAAGGGGCTCGTGATTCTAATTCAGTTGCAGATAGGATATATGTTTGAAGATGTCTAGATACACATATGAGCAAAGACACACGTGTGCGACAGAGCCTGTAGGCCTGATAAGATCTAAACATGTAGAAGTACCCCTTCCAAGACCACTTAAAGCAGTACCTAAAGTCTCTGATTTGTGTCACTGTGACAAATCTCCTTTGTCATTTCTTCATCCATTCCTTATTTTTTAAAAATGTGCATGAACATTTTCATTTAAATAAACATATTTTCTCTCAAAATAAACATTCTTAAAATGCAGCTTTGCATATTTTTTGATCCTAACACTGCATAAGGTATTTAGAGAAGTGTGAATGCTGAATAAATAACAAATGTTTGATTTGGAAATTAATCTGGGAGTCGTGGATTGGCTTTGTTCACAGGAAAATTGATAAAGATCAAATTCTTTCTATCTCCCCATCTCAGAATTCCAGTCCAGACTTGGTTTATTTAGATTGAAGGTTTGGCTGAGTAAATGGATGCAGATTTAACTTTCAAAGGTTCCCATGGGGACAAAATCACGAGAATCAGTCAGGGAGCTGTTGGATGGCACCCTTCAAAGATGTTTTGAACAACAGTTAGGTTGCTTCTCCCTCTTTACCCTTCATTGTAATGAGCTCTTCTTTATCAAAACAAAAGTAGTTAGGATCATCATAATAGGCCTGAATAAAAAAAAATAAAATCAAAATCACTGACTCTGCAGTGGCCAGAATCAATAAAACATGATGCTCTTTGTTTTATATTGCTGTTGATTTGTTTCAAACACAAAGGAAAGTACTGATGAAAATATGTTCTTTCCTTCCATCTTTACAGATATTGACAGTATTCTTAATGATCATGTTTAGAAACCATAGCAGTTTCTTTCCAGATCAATTGAAATGTGTAAGGCTGCATTCTTTTTTATTTTATCCCCCAGGGTTGCTTCTGAACCAACACCTTCTTTTTAAATTCTCCCTTGTTCTGAAAGGATGCGGTAGATTTTAATAAAGGATGTGCAAATAGAGTCACTGATACATATATATTTTACTGTATGCTGACTTTATTAAAACTGTTCTAATAAGACAGTAGAGTTAAAACACTTAAGGAATGGGAAGAGAGCTGCTGCTCTCTTCACTACAGGTCCCATTGTTCAGTGCCATTGATTATGCTGAGAAGTGAGGGTCTCTGGCTGTTGCTAAGTGGTAAGTTCTCATTGATTGGGTGGTTTCCCATTATTTCCCCTTCTTTGAGATACAATGAATTTATTAACCATGCACCTGAGAAAGTCATCAAAAAGAATGAGATAAATATATTCTGACCCATGTTGGGCAAAGAGTGACTGGAGAGAGGTGGGATGGGATCATGATACTGGAGAGACATCAGTGAGGGTGGAGGTGGGCACGCCTGAGGAAGGAACCTTCTCCAGGAATTGCTGAACCCCCAGGATCCTGGAGCTCCATTGCATGTTGTGCTTCTATCACACTCTTATCCAGAGAAGCTCAAGAGGCCTGCATGTGTTTCCTGTGGTTTTATCCTTGCAACAACCTTGTGAGATAGAAGTTATTGAAGGTCCCCCACTAAAATGTATAACTGAGGAACTTGTTTTGAACCTGGCTGTCCCTAGATTTATTCTAGTCACTATGTCACACTCACTTTCTCTTTCACGAAGAGGGAGAGTTGTTTGAGTTGAGTTGCCTGATGGCATAACATTCCTTTTAAATCTACTGTATTCTGACAAGTAATCCAGAATTGACTATAAAAATAACAGATGATACTACACCCCCTTAAAACTGCATTAAACTAATTGAAGTTATGTAAAAATTGTGTTGGGGGTTGTAATGACATTATATAAAGCATATTGCCATCTCTGGTGGCAGTACCAAATTAGTTCTTTATTTTGGTTGAGGAAAGTAGAAACATTTTTCAGGAAATTAGAAAAGTTATGCAACAACCTTTAATAATTCATTCTAGTGTAGCTCTTCCTCCATTTCTATCACATATAAAATGATGCAGCACTCGAAATTAATTCAGTATTTATTAGCCAACAGATTTACTACAACAGAACGATGGAAAACAAAACGTCAACTTTTTTCCAGTCGAGGTATTCAATGAAATGGTTGAAAAATTAAGACTGCAGAGACTCTTGAAATCTTGTGGCTTTCCCACTTTTAGTCTCTATTCTTTAATTACATGAATGAGGAAATTCCTCACAGATTACCTTGATCTACACAAATGCCTTTTTGGACAGAAATGTTGAATGAGGAAGTTCAGCGTTTGTACCTCCTAAGATGACACATGAGTTTAATATATACCCAAATTATACTTCCTTTTTCTCTTCCTTCCTTGCTTGGCTTGTGTTTTCTTCTGAATTTTTTTTTTTTAAGGTGGTGATTTCTTATGATGGTAATTTCATTTTTAATGCTTTGTTGATCACTTTCATTTATGGAGTCCTTTGTAACCTAGCCGGGTAACGAAACGTTTGCAAGAAAAGAACCCAGCTCAGAGAACCCCAAGGACGCCACAGTTCAACCCTGAGCTGCACATATTCGCCTCTATTGGTACTTTCATTTATTTTAAAAAGGGATTATAAAATGATATCCATTTAGTAGGGATCTTCCTAACACTGTTAGTGAACTTCAGACATAAAATAACTATGAACATTAAGGGAATCAGCATGTTTTCAAAGTTTCTGTTCAATAAATCTTTCTTCACCTTTTGAGAGGGCTTCATCATTTGTTGTATGTATAGTAGTCATGAAAGACCTGAGAGAATTTCAGCTTGGCTGGTCTAAATTCTCTATCTTGATTTCTTTGGCCAGGTAATGGCCAAATTCAACTTAAAGTAGTGTTAGTGTATTTTTTGTACTATATCAACATTCTCACTTTTTACCAGATAGTAAAAGATACCCAAAGCTGATGAATTTTCAAAAAATGAAACATTACTGTATTAGTGCTGCTAAAGCAAGCATCTTTCTTTTTTATCACAGTATTCTTCTGGGGTGGTTTTGTACCATAGTTCACAGTGGGTGACAATGGTTAATTGTGGATCAAACATATGCAGAAAGTATTTCTAATAAAGGAAAGTATTTTCTGTGGATGGAGAACTTAATCATAATGCCTGTTTCCATTCTCCTACTGTTAGTTTCTGAATTTGCTCCTCATCATTCTCTTGGGATTTATGGGAGCAATGGCTAGCACCTTTTTTTATGGAATAACCAATGATACCCTCCAATTTGGACTACTGTATATCACGAGATTGCACTTTTGGAGGCAACGCTGTTCACTCGGTCTATGTGGAATTCCTAGTATCCTGACTTCTTTGGGAAGGAATGATAAACATGCAGGCCTTACTCAGGGACTCATAACAACCCCGCTGTCAGCCCTATGAGGTAGTCCTAATGACTTCTGAATGGCTTCTTCACGGTCATATCCGTGGCTCTCCACACTCGCTTGGTACATGAAGAAGGCAAGATTTTTGTACTGAACTATACTGGTGGAGTAACATGTCCTGGTTGAACCTTGGGTATGATAGCCAGAGAAGCTACAAAGGGATAACTAGTCTTGCCTTGCTGGATTTGCTGGTAGAAAGGGATGTCAATCTGCTTATTTTGCTTTGGAGCCTGATGGGAAAAACGGAATTTCATTTCCAAATTTTAATGAATGGCCAGGGGTGGGCTTTACCTCCTTAGTTCTAGCAGTTGGAACAAAGAACTGGTGAAATTGGTCAGTAAGGTTTCATTGTTTTACTCTGAGATGAGCAAAGCCTCCAGCTTCTCAGACTGCCTTTTTAAAACAAATATTGGGCTGATGAACTCATCCCTCCTTTGGGTTAAAAGTCATCTGGGTCAGTTAATGGGATGGGTATGGTGAAGGTTCATCAAAGGCATGGGGGGAGGGGTGTTGGAGCCTAAATAAATAAATAACTAACTAACTAACTAACTAACTAACTAACTAACTCTTGAGCTGGGACCAAAAGCAGATCTTTCTGCTGGTGCTGCTAGAAAGGCCTTGAGGAAGGAAGATGTGATCCTTGAGTTCTGCTCACTCTCAGCCTGGCCCAGCATTCTGGTTTTGCCTGACATTGCAGCTCTGCAAACTGACTTCTCCTCTGTCTTTTTGCCAAACCAGGAAGAAAGTCCTCAGCTGGTGGCTTCAGAGGAACCGGCCTCTTCATCCACCTCAACCAGCATGCACGCTGACAGGGATTACTGTGGCGGTAAGAAAGTCTTTGGTTAATTCATGCCCTTGGGTTTTCATCATAAAAGATCCTTCAGGGGCTTTGGGTGTGATTCAGTATATTGGTAGATCCCTTAAAAGAGTGCCAAAAGAGAATGAGTTCAGGCATTATCTGAGAATGTAAGACCTATCACACTGTAAGCTTGGGGCGTAATGAGGAAAAAAAGATATTTTATTTTGGGTCATATAAATACTGGTGGCTTTGGGAAAAACAATGTGTTGTAAAGGCTCAATTCCATCGTTTTCAAACACAATCACATTTGAAGGTTCTTAACTGTGTGGTGCAAGCATCATAGTGTCACTTCCTCCTACCCTTTATGATGGGCATACCTGTCAATTTCAGTTCCACCCATTTCTTATTTTTCAAACCATAAATTAAGTCTGGATCATTTCTAGATCTCTGGGGAAAGAAAAAACCTGAATGTTTTCATTTCTCATTTGTCTTCATATCTGCACATTGATTTTTGTCACATAAACATGCTCTAGTTTGCATAGAGTTTCTGGAGATATCAGTTAGACAAACTCTTACAAAAACTATGACTGAACATATTTTCCTCCATCCCTGTTCCCAACAAGATCCTTTTCAAACACTGCTACTTCAGCACAAATATTGATTTCAGCTTGATCGCCTCAGAAGAGAATACAAAACCAAAACATTAATTTTTGTTACTAAACTTGCTGACTGGGCATTTTAATTCTGTTCACAGGTTCAGTAGAACTGAGTGTCAGAAATTAATCAGTTGGGTGGGGAGAGCGTTGTTTTCTTTTCAAGAACTTGCAGTCACACAGATGGCACGATCTGGCCTTCTGGATTCAGGCAAAAGCACATCACTGTGTGTGAAAAATAGGTCCTAGTTAGCAATGTGGCAAGTAGATTACAGGTAGGCAGGCTTAAAATATGTCGGTACTGTCTGGTGTCCATTGCTCTTCAGTGGCCTGATTCCACAGAGTAAGTCCCTTAAAGTAGGCCAGGTCCAGAAGCAGGCATGGCAGGAGTACCAAGAAGGGGGGTGATTATTGTTGGATAGAATAACAGAACCTTGGAAACCTCACAGAGCTCTCCCTCCTCCATCTTAGACCAAACAAGATCAAGGCAGGGGTGTTCTGAGTTTCTTTGTCACACTTCCTACTGGGTGGTCTTTTCTCCTCCCTGAGTGATTCTTTGCTCCTTTCTTTCTTCCAGGCCCATGTTCTTTCACACACAGAAGCACCAAGAGATAAGTAAAATGGCCATAGGAGATTCGCAGTGTTTCCCTTCCTCAAAAACTAATCTACTTTCTCCCTAAGAATCCTTCAAATACATTTAGCAATTGTGCCATTTAGAAATGCGTATTTACACCTGAAAGTAAAAGGTGCAAATGTGTTTCTTAGAGCAGTCTTGGGTAGGGAGATTAAGACACCAAAATCGATTGTTATCCTTTGTATTTGGGAGATCCTATTTTATCCCAAATGTTCAAGGTAAGTATTCGTCAAACTTAATATTTCTACTCCTGTTGATGTCATCAGCCCTTCTCTCTCTCTCTTTTTAATAATAGTGGGTGTTTTCAGCCCAGAAAAAAAAGTGTGAAGGGAAATGTTTAAGGCTGTCCAAATCATGCCCAGTTTTGAGGCTAGATGAAGTAATAACAGTAACAACAATAAAGCATCAAAGGGTGAGCTGGACCCTGGGTGTCTAAGCGATGGTGACCCTGTGCTTTAATTAAAAAGGCCTGGAAAAAACATCATAATTTCCACTGACTGGATGGGCATCAGTGTCTAGGTGATTCTGAAGACCCTTCGCCTTTCCACCAAAGAGCCAGGTTGGCAATGCTGAGAACATCTGTGTGCTGGAAAGAACTTGGCATGTAGCTGTAAGCTCTGGATCTGGGCCTTTACGAAGGCATCTGGTTTCTTGTAATTGTATTATCCCTTCCATACTGATTTTCAATGTACTGTATCTCTTGCATACAAAGTCTCTTCCAGGGCTTAATTTAATTATGGCAGGAACTGAGTGCCAGCCGAGCCTCTGCTTGTGTGCCAAAGACTCATCATTCAGTCCTTCACATCTTAAAAGAGCATTATCAAAGGTCTGGGCAGAAGTCCTAAGAACTGCCATTTGCTCGTGTTTTTCTCTTGGCATTTAAGTACAGGAAAATATTTATTTGAAAGAAAGGAACTTGGCTTACTTTTTAATTTAAGGTATAAACTCACCTTACTGTATGTGGACTGTGCAGAGTTAATCGATCCATAGTCATAAATTATAGAGGCCATCAACTTAGAAATCAGGGGAATGAAAACTAGGCATATGCTTTGTTATGCCTGCCAAAACGTAGAAGCATTAAGTATTTTGGTTTCTTTAAACAGACTTATGACTAGCTCTACTTCTTTCATAAATGCTAGCTATTTGGTTTAATAAATCATTCTGGCATACAGATTTAATATCATGAACAATTTGTTTTGCATGCTTTATATATTTTGGATAAATGGTTACAAACTTCACTTTTCTTCTAATTCATAGTTATGTATTTGGTATTTTGAGTGGTTCAGAAGAAAGGGGTGTGTCTTTTTAACTTTCTACAGAACTCCTGTATTTCTGTGTATGTGTCCATGTTTGTGTGTGTAAACAACACAAAATGCAACAGTAATTGGGGAAGGAAGGAAGAAAGGAAGGAGGGAGGGAGGGAGGGAGGGAAGGGAATTCAAATAAGAGGGTATTAATCACAATGGACATTGGATGTCTTTCTCTGCAATACAAATTAGTAGAAAGGAGATAACAATTAAGCCTAAAAATCTGTAAAGATAGTCAATACCCATCTGCTGCTGCTTCTGATAATAGCTGAAATAGGAAAAAAATGTTGTTATTGTTTATTTATTGCTCTTCCTCCCAGATGGTACCTTCCATTTGCAAAAACCAGAACATGGCAGTGCCTTCTTAGCATTTAGCCTGGCTATACAGTATATTTGGCAGCAAGAAGTGAATCAGCTAAGATGCTAATTCTAGATCTGCCAGTGGATTCCAAGAGTCGTGTCGGTTTCAGTTTGTCACTGGTACCAATGCTAATCTGTGTTTGTTCTCTTCAGCTGACCTCATCTCAGGGCAGAGTACATTTTTACTCTAGTCTGTTGCGAATGTGTTTTCTTCTGGGCATGGTGGTGGACCTTGAATTCCCTTTTAATATGGGCTGATACCGGGTTTGCCCTTAGAAACCTCTTGATTCTTGACCTTCCAGAGCCTGCGCAGGACTACCGAGAAGGCCAGGGCGAGGCAGACCACGGACCCGAAGGCCAGGACCCCTTAGGGACTTGCAGGCTGCTGCATCACATCACTGACGGAGATGATCCACTTTTGTCTCCTCGCTGCTCTATTTTTAGCCAAAGCCAGAGGTTTAACTTAGACCCCGAATCGGCTCCTTCCCCACCAAGCGCTCAGCTCTTCATGATGTAAGCTGCATCTACCTTTCCCATTTCCCAAGCACAAGCAACGTTGCTTTTCTCTGGGGGAAAATCGTTCTCTTTTAGAAGTGCTACTTTGGGGCAAGCAGAAGCAGAAGCTTCCTTCAAAAGCTCTGGGAGACTGGAATCAAGGAGGGTTCCCCAGATTCTGTGAAGGCCCCCGGCCTCTTCTCCCAAAGCTGCAATTCTGGGCGGGGCTGGAGAACAACTGCTCATTTGAGTTTCATAGAAGGGATTCTGCTTCCCCAAAGTCACTGCTGGTGCTCCTGTTTGGCAGCTGCTGAACCTTGTTTTAATCAGCTAATAGTAGATAGTTATGAGTTTATTTATCTTTACCCAAGGGAACAAGGTTTTTAATAATAGAAAAAGGAACAAACACTTCTACTGTAACTTCAGTGTGTACTTCTACTACTTCAGTGTGCTGAATATGCTTTATCTAGTGACCATCCTTACAATAACCTTATAAGGCAAGCCAGCGTGGTGGTTACTATTTTAAATCCCCGGAGCGCAGGCCACAACAGAGTGAAAGAAGAGAGCAGAGAGCAGGTGGCTTGAAGTTTCAGGGAAGGATGGCTGGGGTAATGATGCTGGCAATGAAAAAAAGGGCGTTCCAAGGGTTTTCTTATTTTCATTTGTGAAATGATACACGATAAAAGAGATGCTTATTTAAAATAAATAAATCAGTAGGCAACCCTAGGCCAAATATTTATACATTTATTTATGAATTTATAAACTGTTTTACTCAAGGAGACTTTAAGCAGTGTACAAAATCAATAGCTGCAGCCAATGGAACAGTAGAACAGGAATATGCAGCGATATGCAATAAAAGAAATGCAATAGATAATTACAGATTAATGCTTTTGCATCTCTCCAAGCTTACTCATCGGAGCTAAAACGAGCATAGAAACGTCCTGGATGCTCTCAAGGGCCACCGGGGAGGCTTGGGTGAACTTTGCGGAGGTTCCCACCTTCAGAATTCTCTCTGGAGTAGATCATCAGGAGGTCCCATTTCAGGCCATCTCACGCTGGCCTGTTCCAGCATTCAGCAGAGCCACCTGCCCAAAGAAGGCTTCTGCTGATCATCACACCCCAACATCTCCAGAACTTGAGGGTGTTGGGCAGCTTTGGAGCATTTCATATAGGCTGCCCAACCTGGGACTGGGGCTGCTGTTTCTCAGCTGACCACTGTAATGATCTGTTTAGCTGCAGCGTGATCCTTTACTGGGTGATTGTATTTATCTAGTGCTGCTGTGAAATCACCTGCTGGCTTCTGGAGGTTAGGGAGCTCTTAATGAGACAAGGGCGAGGCAGGTCTTCCCCTTCCGTAATATCCCTCTGCTCTCTTCTTCTGTCTCTACCTCTTTATTTCCCATCTCCCCATATAGTCATAGCACTCCACAGTAGCTGGAGCTCTTATTCAGTAGAATGGCACCATAAATGGGCATTTTCATAATTTCTAATGTTCCAGGCCAAGAAGTTCTTCCAGAGGCAGCTGTGAGGACAGCAAAGTGCCCCAGACCATGGTACAACTTACAAAGCACCTGCAAAGCCTGAAGAGGAAAATCAGGAAATACGAAGAGAAGTTTGAGCAAGAGAAGAATTACCGGGTAAGGAGCCGGAGAGCAGCTGTATCCCTCTCAGAGACCACGAGGGGCCGAGGTGCTGCCTCTGAATGCAAGGAGAGAGGGAGAAGACATTGGCCTGGTGGGCTCCCGGCGGAGCAGGATGGCGCCTGCCATTCCTGATGTTCTCAAGCACTGAAGCAAAGGCAGATTTCAGTTATCTGAATGAACATTCGTGGCTCATGCTCGTGTGTCAGCTGTGGGAGACAAGAGAGTGGCTAGGAGTGTCCTTATGCTAAATACGTGACCTCATGAAGGCTTAGCTAGCTAAACAATGATGTCACAGATGCCTAAGGCTGGGTTATCAGCACATTGTGCTACACCAAACAAAGCAGTCAGCAGCAGCCAGCTACCAGCAAAATTAGGAAGTAGCAGACTGTGTTCTTGCTATGGAGACTGGCAAAAATCCCCACAATTAGTTTTCAGCCATTACACGGGGCCAAAGGGAAAAGCACGTGCTAACTGTATTGACTCATTTGGTAAGTAAGACTAAATGTTTTTAAACAGGGCTTGAAAAAAAGCATACTTATGCTTAGTATGCTGTATTTAAAGAGCTGCAGTTGGCTGGATTTGCACAGCATGGTCCCAGTAAACTGCTGGGAAATCATGATGGCCAAAACCAAACTGACATTCTCAGCTAGAGCAATCGGTAAACTCCACAAGAGCGCCAGGTCCTTAGAGACACCAAGAGCAACATTATCTGTAAAAACTGATGCATGATTAAAATGTGGTGGGTAGTATATTCTCAACCTGGTTTTTAAAATGCAGTTTGTCCAAGATCTCACTAATCCTAATGTACAGAGGTTTTCCTGGCAAATATAGAACATTTTCTGCTCTTGCTTGCAAGGCCTCTAGAAGAAGCATCTTCTGGCCACCCATGGTTATCCTTCAGAGTGGCGGTGCTCCGGACATCTTCCCTATATTTGATGTTTAGGTGGCACCATTGTACAAGGGAGAGCAGCTGGGCATCCCTTTGGTTTTTGAGGCTGCTGCTCCTGTTAGCTCCAGGGAGGAGGAGCAAAGGTCTGGGAATGGTGGAGTTGAAGTCCAAAGCATCAAGAGGGCCTCGGGGTTGGAAAATAAGTTAATTCCAAGGGGAGTAAGAAGAAAGCATGGTTATGACCAAGAGCCTGATGCTAAACCTTTGCAAATAAATACCATAGTCCTCTTTGAGGCACAAAACCTGTATTTGTATCATCTCAGACTTAAGATGCCAGTACAATGTTGAATGTATTCCTTTTCTAAATCAGCAAGTCCCTACACACAGAAATCTCTTCCTAAGGAGAAAAGCTTTTCATTTAGCCTTCTCCCAGAGATGCTGTTTTCTCATAAGGAAGCATGCAGATATAGGAACCAGCTGCAGATTGAAGTGGTACAATCAAGACACAAAGAGGCTGCTTTTAGTGAAACTTCTGGAACCGTTGCACTGGGTGGGATTTTGGACACCAAGGTCAGGGTTGACTTCATGCAGTCCCTGGCTTAATTTCACAAATCCTGTACAAGTGATTGATGTGGGCCTTTTTAAGAGCAATATGCCTGCCCTTTAGTAGCCTGGTGGATGGGAAGGAGGAAGTCAAGGAGAAAACGTTTTCGGCTGCTGAAGTGAAGTGTTTTCCACTCATTCGTGAAATGGCAGAAAACAAGACTGGCCCAAAATTTGCTGCCCCTGTAAGAGATCCCCATTCTATCTCTGCTCCCAGTCATTTCTGTCCAAAGGCATGGGTGACAGACGTCAACGTTTTCATATGCCTTGAGGATGTCCTTGGACAGTGTAGGAAGAAAAACATTACTTTAACAGTGATGCAGCTAAGTAAGTAAGTAAATAAATAAATACAAGTGAGGAAAGGAAAAAAGGAAAGAAAGAGGAGTGGCAGATAGAGGAAAGCACTTTTGGCTTGGACCCCGCCACCAGCAAGTCATGCCTCCTTGATAAGTTATCCTATATCAGTCTAGCCCTTGACAGAGGAAAGGATCTTCACCCAGCTCTTCTTCAACCCTTAGAATGATTAGGTTGACATCAGTGTACAGCAGAGGTGAGCAATCGATCCAACTGTGATCTAATCTAGATTGCCATCCAATATTATCTGGAAAGTTGATCTGGTTCCTCTCATCATAATTCCAGCATGTATCTTGGCAATAATATGTATGATTTAAATATTGATTTGATAAGAGTAACATTAAAATCCACTGTCTGATGGTTGTGTTTTTCTTCTCATTTCTGTGCAGCCTTCCCATGCTGACAAAATATCAAATCCTGAAGTGATGAAATGGATGAATGACCTGGCCAAAACTCGTAAACAGCTAAAAGGTAGGTACATACAGCCATTGCATCTAACCTGTTTCTCATGAGACCAGAAGCTATTAATGTATTGTATTCAGCCTACTGGATAGGAAAAGGAAGGAATTTTTCTCGGTGCACTTGTGTCCTCCACCCCATCCCCCAAGCTGAAGGAAGGCCACATTCAACCCTATCAGTGCAGAAAGGCATTTCTTACCTATATGATCTTAAATGATTTCTTGGAGAACCTCAATGCTAGCTACAACTGATTCTACACAAATTTTAAGACACATTCTAAAGGATCCTGGGAAGTGCTATTTTCTCTCCCTGCCTCACTGATTCATAGGCTTCCCTATAGAGAGAGAAGAATTAAGTACCCCTTAACCCACACTGTCTTGGAGATGCAGCCAGCAAGACCTGGTTCTGTGCACACCCAGTGGTGCTGGTTTCCATTCCTTTTCCAGGGGCCTTAAATACCAGCCACTTCCAGGATCAGCCCAGCTCTCCACTGACAGAGCTACTGCAGAGCTAATAGCGTCATTATGTAGATACCTTTCATGCATTAATCATAAAATGCTAAGTTTGATCCTATGATACCAAACGGACTTTAAAAACATATTATTTCCCTATTCAGTATGTCCCAAGTGTCAGATTTGCACCAGACCATAGACTTCTTACATTTCCATTATAACCCGCACTGGACGCAGTTGGAGATCAAATATATTCCTCAAAAAACTGTGTGCCAGAAGACACACAGTGTGACTTTTTAATAACATCTTTTTAAATCTCAAAAAGCCTAGCAATCTGCTCCATACTATTACTATATCCGTTTGATTACAAAGGCCTGTGCAAAATAGATAAAGAAGGACATTAATGAGCAAAGCTGGAAGCTGAGTTGCAAAATTGGTTCTACCCTGCTGATGTCACCATGTGGGAGGTGGGGGGCCCTGAAACAAGCTTCAGATAGGATTAATGACCTCCCTCCATTCTGGGTTCTTGATCTGTACCTCCCTTCTGAAGCTGCTGTTTGCTCCGCACAGGAAATTTGTAGAAAGACTCATGGGGCCCTGTCTATTGTTTGTCTGTAGAGTTAATGGATTAAATATTGGGCTATTAGGTTTGGTAAAACAGACATGGTGTTAGGAAAAAATTGCAACAGCACAGTTCTCCAAAGTCTTGGGGGGAAATCTCTCCTAGCATCTCAAAAACTCCCTCTTACGTGGGAAGTTGGATTGGCAGCTGAAAACGGAGTGTTTCCAGAGGGAGACTGGGAGTTGTAGTTTTTGTATTTTTATTATTATGTATTGTTCTGTTCTATGTTGTGAACCACTGAGAATCTGTTCATGACTGCAATGGGGTATAAATGTGATAAAAAAATAAGATGGCCTTGCTCTTGCATAAAATTGCAGAAGTAGCAAGAATCTGCCCGTATCGTTAGGACCAATAGGACCGAAACGAAACTAACAGCCCTGTTCTTATCCCTCACTGTTCCAGGGACCCTTGCCTACACCCCAGCCAGCCTCCCTTCTTCTTGGATGTCTTGCATTTGCCTCTCTGCTCCCCCCCTCAAACTTTTTGCTTTGTTGCTCCCCAGTACATGGAGAAAACACAGCAAGATGTTTCAGCACAGCTCCAGTTGTATCACTGATGGAAAACAATAACATAAAATTAGAGCTTGACTCCCAGGCGAGTTCTGTTTTTCCCAGGCTCCCATTTGTGGTCGTCAGCTCCAGGAGGCCTGTGACTCACACAGCTTTAGGCTGTGGCTTCCATTGTGTAGGGGGACCTCTGCGTATTTCCTTTCCAGTTGCCCCGCATGACTTCTGATGGTCCACAGTGAGTTTGGCGTACCTGATTATAGAATCATCAAGTTAAAAGGGACCTCGGAGGTCATGTAATCCAACTGTAGAGAGATAGGAGAGACGCTCATAATGGTGCAGGTCAGGTTTGGAACAGTTTTCTTCTGCCTTCTCTGTGCCTTTAATAACATTGTTTAAATACAGAAAGACAAGGGGAAAGGCAGTGGGCCTGTTCACATGATATTGCAAACCAGTGCATAGGCCATATTATCATGTTGCCCAAAGATGGACCATGGTTAATGTGGAGGACCTTTGCCACCAATGCCTTCTTTTAGGTTAACTGACTTGAGCCTTGAGATCTCATATTGTCTGAAACTGAACAGGGGTTAAGGAAAGCCTTCTTCCTCTGGTAGATGTAGTGTTTTGTGGAGAAACAAAGGGGCTATGGGGAAGGATTAGACTGTTTGTACCCTATGTGGGGTGACCCCCAACCCCATCAGGCTGTGCCTGATTGTTCCCCCCTATAATAGAGAAAATGGAACTGAATCTCTGGCAGCCATGCAAAGTTGGCTTAGATACCAATAGCTGAGGAGCAAGTACCATGATTCAACTCTCTAGGCATTCCCAACCTTATTGCCTTATTTTCCTGAGGACATGTTATGTAGGAACAGGTCAGCATGAACAAGAGGCTGAACCAAGTTCGTGAGAGACCAGAACTCTCTCTTCTCTGTCCTGGGGGGCAACCAAAGTAAGGAGTTTCTTGGCTTGCTATCACATCTGGGGCATTGCTTTTGGTTCTGTGGGTCACTGTGTCTCCGGTCTCTATGTGAGCATCCCAGATCAGTGAGAGGATGCAGTGTGTGCATGTTCCTGTAGCAGAAGCTATAGGTTGCAGGTATTTGCTCAGTGAGATGTTGCATGGATTTTCCTCACAGAGCTGAAGCTCAAGATGTCAGAAGAACAAAGCTTCCCCCTCAAAAGAGCCCAAAGGAACTTTCATCAGGGGAGCTCCAAAGAGACTGTGAAGCTGGATCCAGCAGATTCCCCCACCAGTCCTTCTGTGGAGGACACCATGCATGCTGTGATGAAACAGTTGAAGGAGAAGCGACAGCAGCTGAATCTCCCCGAAAACATTAAGGTACCTGGTTCTTGCATAACATTTAGGTTTGCTAAGCCAGCCAGGTTCAGATCTTTAACTGCTGGCCTTGCTTGACATGCGCATGGTGGCTCCTGTCATGTCCTATCACTTCATGAGGCTCCTGTGGAAGGCTCCCATTGACTGGCAGACACTCTGTGTGCAAAAGCCTCACAGGAGTGAAGAACCAAAGTGGTACAGATTACATGAAACATCTGTGCAGAAAACTGGGTATTAGTGGGCTTCATGTGGCAGTTGCAACGTTTGCTACATCAGGACAATGGGTTTCAAATTTTCAATTTGTAGCCTATTTTGTGTCCAGAGCTGTATCTGGAGATTCTTAGGCAGAAACTCTTTGGGATCTGGTGGAAGACAAGATGACGTTGCGCGCTCTGCAAAGCGAGACAAGTATGTCACTCGTGGCACGATGCTGCATCATACGTGACAGACTTGCTTCTCCTGTGGCGCTTTTCAAGTCAGAGTCATGTCCGTGATGTACAACTGGAGAGACCCCGGGAACTCCAAAAGCGATTGAAGTCTGCATCCTCAAGCTGTTAACTAAGCTAGCTGCCCAGTTTCCCCCCCCCCCCCCCAATTTAATTCTTTGTTTAGTCAATTATCAAGCCACATTAGCAGCATGAATGTGAGGCTTCAAATTTACCTCTTAGGCAATTCAAATTATTTTCAGATTAGTTAAAAGTGCTTGGCATGTGACTAACCCGAAGGACAAAGGTAACTGGAACATGTGCACTTCTACGTCTGCCCAATTCTATGAACCTAGAGGGGTCTTGCATAAAATATCCAGTCCTGGTTCCAGGGGAGAATGAAGCTTGTAGAACCCGTGGTCGGAGCCCACTGAAAGCCGTGCCTCTGTTCAGAGAAGCCGATGAGCGAGCTGCAGTTACAGCCATTTCACGGGTAGGCGCTTGGCGGCTGGTCATCACCACCTTCAGTCAGCCAGCTTTAAAGCGGTCAAACAGTTCAGCCCATCAACATTCTGCAGTAAGTAATGCAGCCCCTGACTTTTAAAAATCATGCAAGTTAATGCATGTTATTTTGAGCAGTGTGGGGTAGTGGTGAAGGCCTGGACTAGGAGGACTGGGGGGATGCAAGTCCAAGTCTGCCTTCAGCCTGAGGTGACTCTGGGCTGGTCCCTCCCTCTCGGCCCATCCTTCCTCGCAAGGTTGTTCAGGAGAAAATTAGAGGAGGTTGAGCTGCCTTGAATTCCTGGGGAAGAGATAAGATATACTGTAGATCTAGAGAACAAACAGACAAATTAAACTCTGTTTCTGCTGGTTCAGAAGAGTCAGGAAGACAGAGAGCTCTGACACCTGACCAGTGGAAATGCTGTTTCACTGGGCATTTTTAAATTTCACTTTCTGCCCAGACGTTTTAGGATGGAATTGACTGTAATATCAAATAGAATCAAACCATGCAATGACTGTTATATCTATTTTATTTCATTCCCTTCAGGGTTTTTTCTAAAATGCACTCTTCTTGATTAAAAAGAGAACAGGACAAACACTCCTGCCCTCCGGTTGCCCTCTCCTTCCTGGATCCGAGCTAACTGGCCAGCTGCCGTGGGGTCACAGCCTGCCCTCCTGGGGTGGGCAACCCCCACCTGTTCTGAGCGATGGGATCGGAGGGTTCGCCAAAGGGCTGGAGTGACCTCTATCAGGCCCTGCCATTTCCATTTCGTTGCTGGCTTAAGTCCTGGGGGGCTGAGTCAGAGAGAAGCCTGGGCCTCGAAACAATGTTTTGTGGATATAATGGATAGCAAGCAAATCATCAGAATCATTCACAGCCTGTCTGCCTCCGAGTTCCCAGATTTTTCATTTTACATGAAGGCCTTAATGATAATAAATGATGAAGAAAAATGTAATAATAAGATATAATAATAGGCATTAGCAAAGACAACACATGTTTTGTGATAAATTCTGCTTTTGGAGCTCTTGTTTGGCTTGTTGGGGAAGGGGGATTCCTGAGTATCATACCTCTGATTTTTAGGGGCGAGACTCCCTGGATCCACACTAACCCTTCATATTTTTTCCCCATGCTACTTGAAGAAAAAAGTTACTTTCACCAAATGCCATCTGGTTTCATCCAAACCTTCTCTGGGATGATGAAATCATGGGATGATTTATAAGACTATTGCTGCCAGATTCTGGCAGCAAAAATCACTCCGTCCACAGTATCTGTTTGTTCCTATCTCATGGCTATTTTGAAGCCTAGGTCTGGTGCTCCTACCTAAAACGAAGTCCTACAAGTTTGACCAGTGATGGAATCCCTTACAGTTCTCTTAGGAGCCTGAACAGTTATGCTGGCTTTTGGTACAGCCAATAAAAACCCGTTGGCTAGGCAGAATAACTGAGTTGCAGCATCCCTCCAGATTTGAGCTGCAGAAATATGGATGGCCAGCAGACAGCACTAAAGGGACACAGAAACCTCTGTTGCCACTGCCTGGCTGTAGAGATTTGTGCAGCTCAGATTTATCACTCCCCTATTTCATGTCCCCTATTTAAACACACATTCAAATGTCTTCTTGAAATCAGGAAAGTTTTTTGGGGGGCCTACCTAGACTTCCACCTTGCATTTTCCTTACAGATAGTGATGCTTAAGTAACAAACCATATGTGTGGAATTTATTTGGGAGGGGGCTACTAATTATATGCACACCCATCTCCCTCTATAAGAAAACACTTGATTCTTATTTTTTAAATAAATCATTCTTTTTTAATTAGGCTATGACAAAAAAGCAAATGGCTTTGGAAAAGCTCAGTCTCCAGAAAAGCCTACTCTATTTTGAAAGTATTCATGGACGGCCTGTAAGTATCCTTTAGAAAGAGAGGTCAACTTCAGGTTAGCAATTACAAAGAGTTTTCAACAGGAGATGGCTTCTGAGCTTCCCCATCTCACGTGCCAAGGTCAGTTTGAAGTTAGGTCCAGTATTTCAAGCATCCTTGAACCAAGTCATGTTCCATAGGTTCTTCAACTATATTATCTCTCTGTTTCTCTCTCTGTTTCTCTCTCTCTCTCATCTCTCTCTATTATCTATCGATCTATCGATCTATCGATCTATCTCTATCATCTATCATCTATCTATCTGTCTGTCTGTCTGTCTGTCTGTCTGTCTATCTCTCTACCTACCTACCTACCTACCTACCTACCTACCTACCATCTATCTCTATCTTTCATCATCTGTCTATATCATTTCCTATATTTATCTGTCACAATTTAGAAGCTACCCAACTCCAGATGACTATGGGCAACTTTCTGAACATCACCAGAGTGGGAGCCACGTGGATCTCTGGGGGGATGCTGCTACAGAGGGTGGGCACAGCAACAGAGAAGGCCCCCCTTCCTTGGTCCCAATACATGAAATTGTTTATTGAGTGGGCCCAAAGCACATCCGTTTTGCTCAGTCCCACCAGATTCTTCAAGAAGTGTGTTGTGTTCCTCAAGTACAGGAACAACAGATAGGAGTACATTTTTTTTTCAGGTAACCTGAAAAAAATGTGCAGCTGATATAGCCATTCACACTAATCAGAGGTACCAGCTCACCAATTGATGGCTCAGATGAAAGGGCCAGAAAACACTTAAATTAGTTAATTAATTAATTTTACAAATCAAAGCCAGTTCCTTAACATTTGAAAAGCACACTATAGAGTGAACAAGAAATAGAACAAGACCTTAACTGGTTGGAAGATCCATTTATGTGTGTATACATACATACACATACACGAGGCATGGTCAGACAGTAACAAACTGAGAAATCACATGGATACATCAGCAAATAGTTTTCAGTTCTAACAGCTTTTTAAATATACAGCCTTTATTGGTATTGTTAAGTGAAGTAATTATTTCAGCTTATGGAAGGAGACCAAAGCACCACTGATATTATAAATTATGTATAGGGTGCCCCCTAGTTCATTTTAATTTGATCTGGATCATCTTTTAGACATTGAAATTGTTAACAGAACTTACCATGTTCACCCAACTAAAAGAGACACACTCCTGCAGGGAGAGGACTTGAAAGCATTCAAAATTTGGAGCATTTGCTGGGCCTTATTTATATACTTTTAGTGAAATATGACTTAGAAACCGAAGCCTATGATCGAACGAATGCAAAATTTAAATACAATTATTGATATGCAACAATGGCAATTTCAGTGGAAGAAAAATATTAAATTCACGCAATATCATAGTTAAAGAACATTATTTTTAAATGTTTTACCATTGGCATATTGTTTCAAC